CATGTGTCCTACTCTGTTTTTTTTTTTTTAGTTTTAGCAATGTTCTTTTGTTGGCTTTTTATTTGCTTGTACATTATTTCCTCATATAATGATAAAACTATAGTGCTTTGTATATAATTATTTTATAGTGAGCTTGTTGCTGTTGTATATCTCTTTGACATTTCTTAGCTTTTTAGTCCCTAAGGATATTCATAGTATTTATCATTCTGCAAGGACTGCCTCATGCTGTACTAGAGGTTGTTTCTTGTACTTTTGCAAGATTTTCAAAATTTCCATACTCTCTATATTCCATCAAAACTGTTTGAGGCAAGAATAACTTGCTCTGTGGGTTATTAAACAAATTGCTTACCAATCAAATCTTTATCTTGTATCTGTGCTACTCGCTCTATGGATGTCTTTTATCTTGTCACCAGCAAAATTAATTAACTTGACAAAATCAAAGCAATTGTCCTCTGTCACAACTCTATACTTCCAAATATGAATCAGAGTAGCTGATTTGAAAGATCTCCTGCTATACAGCACTGTAACAAAATTTTTGCATAGCCAATAACATTTGTGTCTTGTAGTGACAAGGAAAATTATACTGTGGCTCCTGAGAGGGAGCAGTCTAGCAATTACAATCAAAATGCGTTTGTACCAGTAAGTCTTATTAATGAACAATTACCAGTTTTTGGTAAGAAATCAAATTTTATGTACTAACAAGATTTTAAAACACAATGGCATCAATTTGGATAACAAATTCTCCATTTGGTTTGAAAATTTTATTATTTTGGTGAAAACAAATGAAAATTGTATGCACTCAGTATTTGCTTGTTGTACCAATTTAAACTTACAGTGCAAAAATATAGTGTACTAAATGTTTATCAGTGAAATTAATGATATGATGTTAACAATTATTGTAATAGGCTAACAGTAACATTGGAAATTGTCAACATGGCGATGTCCTGGTACTTTACTTTTTTGATCAAATATCAAAGTTTGTGGTATTGGTAATTTCATCTCTCCAATGACAAGAGTTTAAACTCAATGTCATTACAACTTATCTGTTCTGGTTTGAAAATTGTATTCCTAACAATTTAAACTTGCACAAAATTATTTATTGTACCAATTTTAATGAACAGTGCGAAAGTAAAGTACTTGACGTTCATAAAAAAATTTCTGCTATGATGTCATTTATCATTGTATTAGGAATAACAGTGACATGAAAATGTTCATTAGGTAATGTCTAAATTGAATTTCCCAGTCCTTGGGTTTTTTACAAAAGAAATCAAAGTTCACAGTGTTAGTAATTTATGCTAACAAGAGTTTATACTCAATGCCACCATACTGGATAACAATTTCTCTCTTTTCTTTGAAAATTGTGAACTTAATATGGTTTGGTGCCATTGCTGCCTGTATTTTAAAAGTTGGATCCAACACAGCTAGAAGCTGATGAAGCTGTTGGTGTGGCAAAGTGAACCAAAGCTTTTTGTTATTTTTGGGAATGACCATGATGCAGTTATTCCAAATTATAATGTAATTTTCTAGCTTTTGGAAACACCACATAACTAGCAATCTCCTATTTTATTATCTGTGTAAGAGATGGTTGTTTTTTTTAATGGATGAAACATGTATAATTTTGTTCGTGGCTTTCAGTATGGCCATGATTTTACACTGAAGAGTCACTATCCTTGAAGCCATAAAGTTATCAAAATCAGCCAGTGGACTTTCGAATGCTGCTGATTGTTCTGGGCTTAAGTCTTCGGAGTGTTAAAATACCTATTGTTCTATGAGACCTGTAACATCATCACAAGTAAATACTGAGCTCAATATTGGAACAATAGTTTTATGATAAAAAAACCCTTTTGAACTTTCATTCCACAAACCTTTACAGTAAAATCTGGAACAGTGATTGTCTTGCACCAAATCCTAATCGGGCCATATTTTCTGTCTTTGAGGCCTAGTTTAGTTTCACATCATATTCCTCATAATGCTCATTTACCAGTCTAACAATTCATACCTTAGTATGGAAATCAAACACCCATTTCTATTGACGACACAAATTACATTGGCTTATCCAATTCAACAGTTGGCTCACAGAGCCTTTGATTCTCCCTGCCTCCTTCCTGCGCTCTCCTGTACAACTGCAAGTTGTCAAAATGGACTACTTGAGACTTTCTGGAATGTCCTCTGACTCTCTTCACACAGTACGTAAAATCAGTTACTCGCTCCACTATCTCATATGGTCCCTCCCTCTGTCAATGGAACTTGTTTGTTTCACCTTGTTTCAGCTGTGGATCATAGCACAACCTTCAAACACCATGTGCCTCACTCCCTTGTCGGTTTTGTCTCACATCACGGTAAACAGCTTCTAGGCTATCCTGCAGGTCCGCTACGAATTCAGAGTAACTGCTTCCATTGTTCATGGGTCCACTGCCCATCATGACATCCAGGGGTATCCTCATCTCCCTCCCAAACATTAGCTCAAAAGGTGTATATTCTGTGGAGGAGTGGACACTACTTCTGAAGGCCATCATGCAGTAATGTAGTTTTTCATCCCAGCCCCATGGATCATTGTCAACCCTGGCTTTCAGCATGCTCTTAACGGTCTTGTGCAGATTCTCATCTTGACCATTGTCCTCTGGATGGTATGCAGATGACCGAGTTGATTATGAATTGCATATGCTTCAGCCCACTTTGTAAAACTGCACTGTATCGTCAGAATATAGCAATTTCCCTTTTGAGACCTTGGTAAGGGGCCAACAATGTCAATATGGGATCTCTGCATAGGGTTTCCAGATGGTATCAAATGCAGGGTGCCTTTGATTTCGGCCTGGATTTGCTCTTGGCGCATGTCAGACAACTGCTACAATACCGATGGACTTCTTTTGTGAAACTGGGTCTCCAAAACCTGGTTTTCATCTTCTTCAGGGTCTTCATTCTTCTAGTATTTTTATTTTTTATTTAATGATTCACCCGAAGGTGGGTGTAA